GGAGATAGCAAGTAAACCTACTGGCAAATAGCAAGTGTTCTTTGAGTTGGGAGGCGGAAGTTGGAGTTGGGAAACTGCGCTATGAAAACAGAGGTTTGTTTGTTTGGTTGGTTCTTATCTGCTGCTCCCACCCCTGGGAGACCTTTTCAAGCAAGAAAGAGGCACCTCTGGGAAGCGCGTGTCTATGTAGACATACTCTGGGCAGGGAGTAGCTGAGCTGGGACTACTTTTTCCCTCTGTCTTCAAGGCAAGCTCCAGTTCAGCCAGCAAAGCCCCACATATTTGTTCCCCCTTTTGATTGCTTCCCCAGCACCCATCCTGTCCTTTGCCATCCTGGTTATTTCCATACCCCTGTCATAGTATGATCTGATCACACTGCATCAAGCGTCCATGTTTATCTGTGTCTCTCTCCCACCGTGCTGTGGGCTTGTTCTTAGAGCAGGGACTGTGTCTCATTCATCTTTGCACAGATGCTTGTTCAATTGAAGATGAATTCAAACTTCAAAAAGATTGCCAACTTTTGTTTCTCCTCCCCTTGCATTCATTCAGCATGCATTTATTATATTCCTGAGGTGTGCATAGTGAGTTGGTGGTAGGAACACAGATATGAACAAGACAGAAACTCTGACCTCAAAATCTTCACATAATGTGAGTGGCAGAGGGAAGCAGATCAGTTGAACAACATTTTGTCAATGCAGCTTTAGTCATCCATTGACACATTATTTATTTAGTATCTTCCTTCTGTTCTAGGAACTAGAGATATAGCCGTAGAAAAAAAACAAACAGAATCCGCACTCTAAGGGCACTGATATTTGAGTGGGAAGGAGACAGATTATGTGCAAATAACTAAGTGTATTAAGTAGTATCCTAGATGGTGGTAAATGCTATGGAGAAAAATAAAGCAGGGAAGAGTAACAACTCTGTGTGTGGAGGGGGTTGCAATTTATTTATTTATTTATTTATTGCTTTTTAAATTCTATTTGTTTATGTTTAATTGAGGTAATATTGGGGGGGATCCCATTAGGTATTACCACCATAGTGTACCCACTACCAACTCATCAGTATTCTACCACCAAAGAACATTGTACTTCCTTCCCTCTTTGTTCTTACCTCTCCCTCAAACCTTCCTTGGTACTTCAGTTCTATAGTCAGCTATCAATGGTTGGTTTTTAAGCTTATTTTTATCTCACTATTAGTTTAGTTACTTTCTTTTTCACATATTAATGACACCATCTGGTAGTTATCTTTCTCCCTCTGATTTATTTCACATAGAGTTATCCCTTCAAGTTCCAGCCAGCTTGCTGCAAATGGCGTGAGTTTATATTTTTGACCACTATGTAATATTCCATATACCATATCTTGATCCACTCACCTCAGTGGGGGAAGGGTGGTTATTTTAAATGAAGTGATTAGGGTATCCTCACTAAGAGATGCAATAGGGTAAAGATTGTGCTTTTATTTGGGAGAACACCATTTCAAGTATGATGCAGAGACCCTGAAGCAGGAGTATATAGAGGAGAAATAGGAGTCAGATAAGAAAGAGAGTAATGGCAAATAAGCTGAGAAGTAATGGGTAAGATTGTGCAGAGCAGGACTCAGATGTTATTGTCAAGACTGTGGCTTTTACTCAAGGAAGCAGGAAGTCATTAGAGGTTTCTGAATTAAAACTTGACATGATCTAATTTTTATCAGAATCCCTCTAGACAGACATGGTTAAGGAGAGACAGCATTGGAGAGGACTCTGGTGAGAGGAGGGAGACTAGTCAGAAGACTCTGACTTAATCCAAGTGAAAAATAGCAGGGGTTGGGCCAGGCTAGCGAATGAAAGGAAGTGGGAAGGAACTGTCAGATTCCAGATGTAGTCAGACGGTAGTGAAGTCAAGAACAGTTCCAAGGTTATTTGGCTTCAACAACTGGAAGCATGCCATTGCCTTTACACGAGATGTAAAAACCTTGAGAGGAACAGGTTGCAGAAATACTGCCAGGGGTTCAAGATTTGTTTTATTAAAGTCTGAAGGGTCAATGATGTAGCTGGACTATGAACCTGGAGTTCTGGGGAAAGATCCAGTTTGAATAATATATAATATAGTGATTCTTGTTATTTGTGGTAGTTCTAGTCTATAAAACCTCTAGGAGCACTGAGTGACTAAATACTGAATCAGTGTTCCCAGAGGAAGTGCAGGGTTAGATCCTATGGGCCTGGTGTTATAAGATTTTCACCAATTGCTATATGTATGACCTTTGTGTGTGTTTAATGTTATTACTAATTCACTAACTCATGGCCAGCTGCACTATCACTCTGAGTGATGTCTGTCTAATATACACATTTTCTGCATAAGGCACACCCACCTTCTTGTGCTTAGGACCACTGGACACCACTAAAAATTAGATCATTTTAAGTGGTGGGATAAAAAAAAAACCAAAATATGAAAAATGGAGCACTATGTAGACCACAAAAACCATACTTAGTTACAGTGAGATCTGAAACAAGATGGCAGACCAGTGGTTTGGGGGACCTTGAATTATGAATTAACTGAATAACTAAATTTTATCTGGGGGTACCTGTCAGTGTAATGCCAAGAAAAAAGGGAAAACCAGTCTCTGGAAGAGGACCCTCGCGTGCATTGACCTGGGGCTGGACACAGCCACCTCCACTCCCAAGCAGGGTTTATTTCCACAAGAGTGGGACAGAATTTAGGATCTTGGACAAAGAAGTCATGTCCTGTTCCTCTTGCCAGTTTAGAGTTGAACAGGGCAGACAGGAAAT